CAAGCCGGTAATCAGACAGTCTTGTTTAGGGTGAGAGATTTTAGGCGTCGCAGCTCGCGGAATATGATCCAATCAGATCGCGTCAGGGGTCAGAGGGAATTTACTTGCATAAGGTCACGGGTGAGAGGGACGAGACACGCGACTACGATGAAGCATTCACTCTGTATAAGGGGAAACTTGCAAATTCTGTTCGGCAGTCAACTTGGTAGATTCCATGCTAAAGCGACTGCCTGAAGTGCTCAAAACTCTTGAGTGTAGACGGATACTGTTTGGGTACTGCATTTTGCAGCAATGGTCTCCATGGTGCCATTGAAAGAAACTAAGGCAGAAGGCAAGGGGGCAGGAACACAGTGACCGTTGATATCTCGTAAACAGTACGAAGCAAATGGCACCTGTGAAGATTTGATCGATGCCTACACGAGAATCAGTCAACAAATGCCCTAATATAGCATAATATTATGGTAGAGATGCTATCAAAATGTAAAAGCGCATCATTTATTGAGAACTTTAGTAAAAACCACTATTTGGTCGCCTTCGTCTATTAACCGTATAAGCCTGAGGTAAAAAACATACTACGACGAGGAGAATTTCGAATCTTTAACATTTGCTACTTACGAGTAGTTAAAAAACATGATAATGCCAATCATAATCACGAATCCGAGATGTGATAGGAGTTTCGGGCCGTGAACCAACCGTAGAGCAGATGAAGCCAAAGATTTGGAATGTATTGCCCATGTGTATATTGAAACATGTGTGAGAAACGGTGGAAAGATGAAACACCTCATTTGGAATCACGCATTTGCAAACTCCATTAAATTCGACTCTTAAAGCTGATTTTCGGACGAGTTCGTGAACCAACACAAGTTCCTCCATGAAGTACTTGGAACTCGTCAAGAAGCCCAAATACGAAAATAGTAGTCCAACATGACTGAAAGCTTACCAAACCAGCGTTCAACAATTATTTGTAACTTTCTGACAGCAGTTGAACGCGAAATATGGTTCATCGTCGTATACATTGATAGTGAAACAAACACCACAGCCATACTCACAATCCATTTGAAGTGAGTGGTAATATATAAGATCGGCAGGGAATCAACTTATTATGAGGGAGGAAGAAATGGGACCCCCACGGTTCAAACAGAGTAAACAATCTAACTCTGCATACATACCTTTTCAACCACTCTGCACTAAAATAATTCATGAATATTAGCGATTTCGTATTTGTAACCAATGAAAGGAACAGATTGAGGATGTTTATGGCACACGAATCCAATCGCTGCCATCGATGTGCTTTGGACTCATTGGTTTGAGGTTCGAGCCCCGTCCCTTTCAGTAACTCTTGATTGTAGGCGGCATTATTGCCGTCCAGTCAACACCACGCCTCATTTGGGTTTCCACTCCAAGTCCTGGTTTCTATCAGCAGGTTCTTGTGAATGTGGGATATATCCCATCTGTTGTTCATTACATTAGTGTGCAATGGAAAAACACAGCTACTTGGCGGAACACAACATTCATTTTGGCTACTACGACGGTCCACCTTGTGTATAACGAAAAACCGGCAGCCCACATCTTGGATATCCACCTAACCAATGCATCATCCTGAGCTACAGATCGGAACACAGTTTCACCCGTTAGTGATACCGGCATACGACTTTCTGCAAAACGTAATCTGTGATCTCCACATAGGTTTAATTTGTTAAAAATCAAACATCGATTCATGTGCACTTATATACACACCGCAACAAAGTTTCGCTTTTACCTACTCCTCCCCCCCCCCCAGATTTTTAATATCCCGACTTATGCATGTAAGATAACAACCACTTTTTGGTACCCATACAGGAGTTAATTTGAAAATCCAAGCACGAAATTTCGGTTTCCCAGTGTAATATGACCGAAAATGGAAAACATTGAAGCCACAAAAGTCTCGTATTTCTCCTCCGGAGGCTCAATGCACATTGGCAGTGTGTGGAACGATCGTTCCGTTTTAATGCTCGATACACCTTTAGGGCCAAAAATGAGTTCCGATTCATCAGTGAACTTATATCAGTGATCCGTCCAGTTGAATATAGTTCGTCTTTTCCTAAATCACATCTGCAGTAGTCCAGTTGTCCAGGTTTTCCTAATTGAAATGGTTCTTTTCTGAAGTACACACATTTCTGTTTGTGCGACCATGTAACATGAGTTTCGGTTCAAAACAAAAGGACCGCTGTTTCCAGTTTTGCTTCTTTCAATTTTCTTGCATCTCATTCACGATACGAGGCCCAGAGTTCGTTGTATTGTTCCACTCGAAACACTCAATCTAAGGAGAGCTTCCAATTTTCAGGCATGAATCCCAGAAATAGAGAACCAATGTATCCCCTGGCAGTTATCTTTCTCTAAATGACTCCAAGAGTTATCGGTCTATTCGCTTTCACTTTTTCTTTGACCGCGATAACGTAATACATTGTAACATATTAGGTCTTCGTTGATTGTTGCATACAACCCTCTCGAGCACTACATTACAAAATAAACATCATATGCGCTGTGCTAAGAATATACTTTACCGGACATGCATTCATGAGGAGTGCCAGGAACCGTGAAACCGGTTATGCTTCAAGGGAAATTTTTTCCAGGCATTCATATACTACTCATTATGAAATATATATCACGAAAGCGCGCTTTGGCACTTGCTGGTGGCTTAGGTACAATCTGAATCTAGAAAGGGCAAATCGATGGAAATCACTAGCTGACACCGCCAGACGAGTGCTTATGTTTTACTTGATAACCAACATGTTGCTATTTGCATTGCGAATGAAGAAATTCCAAAGAACAGAACGAAAAAAGCTTTTCTCGGCAAAAAGGACGAATCCTACGGCAAATTGCTCTCGTTTTGACAATGCCAAACCCGCCTCTGATAAGAAAATAAAGTAGATGAATGAGTTGAAAAAAATGAACACGCAAAACGCACGGAGCGCTTTCACATAAGAAGTGGCAGCACTTCGCATGTGATCGACTTCCTTCTTTCTAACTTAGTTACATTATCCTTGGCAGGGATCCATTCGCGACCCTCACCTTTTCGGTTCACACATGACCGGTGTGACAAGGACTTCTTGCTGGGATACAAACTGCTTTGAAGAGGTTTTTCTTTCCAATAGGAAGTCATTTCATGGTATTTGTGACTGTTAATGGAGAGCTGAAAACGAAATTAAACTTAGTGAATTCCTCGTAAGTTCATAAAGTAAAATTATGTGGGCTTACACCTTTCACCATCAGCAATGCAAACCAAACGTTTTTCTTCAAAATATCGTTTATCATCCAGGATAAGTGAAACCGAACTGGGGTTGCAATATTCTTACAACTCCTGTCTATATTCTCTATCTTCCGCTTGAATTTGCTCTCAACATTCCAATATTCAATCTGCTCTTTTATCTAAATCGGGGGCCAAAAGACAGAAACCGAAACCGGTGCAGGAAAATACATGGTAAATGGCAGTAAAAACTGAACTGAAACCGAACTATACGGAGTGGTAGGTTTGGCCTGCTGAGTGCGGAAGATAGTATCGATAAGACTATTCGGACTAGAGTGAAATGCAACTGGTTGTTTGCGTACGAGTAGCACGACTGAACATTTAGAGAAAACCAATTAACTCCCGATTACGTCTATACGATAAATAAATATTCAAAACAGTACGGTAAGAGTAGCCTAACATATTATTTTAATAGGTGGAACGCTAGCAAAAACAGCACCGGAAGAAAGACTGTACAATATAATGGGGTTTCCTACGAGCTAGCATTCGCCTCAGCGTCAGTTGGCTTGGGCTTCAGAACAACTTTGTCCACAAGGCTCACTAGTGACCCCGGAGTGAGACCGAAGAAAATTTGTCTTGGATCCTTAAGCGGATGATCGGGATTGATCTTGGGAGTAATCAGGCGATAACCGTACTTTTGTGCTAACCAAGCACGAGCATTGTCGATTTCTTGTGGATCAGCCAAATAACCACGGGATTCAGCACTTGTATAATAAGGAATGGCATCCTATAATTGAAGTTATATACGAATGATTAGGAGTGTGATAAGAACTGATAATTTCAATCGAATTTGATTAAACAAAACTTTAGACAGTATACGCACATCAGTGTCAAAACCATAGGAGCGTTGCATACCGGTTCAAGCCGGTCTAGACACCGGAGACCCATGAGAACAGTTCATAGCGTAAAAATATCACCACTGCATATTGACATCGTCTACCGCAAAAGTCGTTCAGAGTGATAAACACAAGATTATTTTTCACCCAAATCGATGCACTGTAGTACAATAACAGGTAGCTGAAAATGACTGACACACAAGCACAGAGGGTCAGCGGCAGACAATGATCAATCGCAGGCACTTCCTAATGACATACCGCTAACTCCATTCACCGGTATGAAACCTTAGAGAAGCAAACAAGAATGCACTGGTGTTGTCTATTCGAACATATGAGATTCCCGTTTCAAAAGATCAAAACACCGGGTCAGATAATGAACTGGGTAAAACGTAAAAATGGAGTGTGCATTGGAAGGCTTACCGTGGGAGGAAGCTTGCAACTCGGAATAGGAATTCCCTGCTGGAAAAACGACAAGGGATCTTTTTTAGCCCAGATTGAGAACAAATCATAAAAACGAGTGGTAATCACACCACCAACTCGTTCAATCGCAGCAATAACCGGTTCACTCGCATGTTGAACTTCGATGTTTATGGGCGTGACGAAATTATCAACACCCTGGAGAAGGTGAATCGATGATGTGAGCAACTTACATCTTCGGTTAACTGAAAACCATATTGTCGATTGTGTTCTACATCGAGAAAATACAAACCCGTGTTGCAGATAGTGGTCAAATCGATTGGTTCGTTTGGATCTATCCGATGGAGATCGATCAGACGCTGTAGTTCCAGAAGCGATATCCGTGCGAATGATCTTCGAATTCTGTAAGGAAAGAGTTTGGACATTGGAACAGAACATCACGTGCGCAATATCAGTGTTGTAAGGCTCGCGCGGAACGGAGACGTAAAATGGTGTCTTTTGTCCCAGGTCACCAAGGGGGCGCCAGGCTTGGTACTGGCTTTGACCGCGATGGCCTAAGCCACGCTTTTTCCGCTTTAGACCTGAAAACTCCTGAATATAGTGGTTTGCATTGAGAACAAAATATTTTTAAATATACAAGCAACTAACCGGTGGAATGCTCCGGGGCAAATCTTTCACATTGTTGATCGAAACACGAGGATAGGCTCGGAGAAGTTTCAGTGCTTTATCAACACTCGTCATGTTATCGTGATATCGAAGATTATAAATAAATCAGTTGCATAACTCCAAGCGAGTTCCTAAAACTGAAATAGAACACGAATGCGATTCCAGGATACAGGCATTCAAGTGTTCAAAAGCAAATTATCTCTTTAAAAAAGTTAACAATACCACAGACCGAAAGTCGTATAATTAATGCACTGGTGAAAAAAGCAACGAAATGGCCAAAATTACTTTTACTAAACTACACATGGGTGTTCAGCCTATCGATCAAGACGTTGCTGATGACGAATTAATGTGTAATCGGATTCCTTAATTTTATTAATACTTTTGACTGTGTGCCAAACAAATCATGGCAAAATAATCTTTATAAAAAGCGAAACGTTCCATGATTAGCAGGTGGGCTGAAAACTGCCAAGTTGCCCGGGCCAAATAAGATGAATATTTTTGAAGAATCCACAACCGGGGCCTTTGGCTGGCCAAAGCCTGACCCGCAAGGCAGCTGAGCCGTGTGTGAAATCCACAATTCATATGAGTTCGGAGTACAGTTCACCGGATCATACGCCCTTCAGACGGGATCAAACGTACTAGGTGCCCAATACACCTGGATGCCTGATCGAGTCGGTGACCACAGACACAACTGAGATGTGCGTGGTTCGTACGCCACTTCTTGGTTGGTTTGCAATCAAAGTTTTTGGCCAACTCTCTTAGGTGAACTACCAGTGGCCCACCAAACCGGTTATAGCCCCGGGACGTTGGCTCTTCGTCCTCTCACTTCGGTGAAAAAACACCTCCGACAGGAGGCAGTGAGTAGTATCTCCGCAGCAGAGGCTGTTTAAGACGCTTGGTAGTACGGGAGCATTTCGCGAGGGGCAAGGGAAGGGTGACCATCCGCAACCGTGGACAACCACCCGCCCATACTGAGGATTTCGGAGGCTTTACAAACATTAACCATGCACTTTTCTGCGCCGGTTTCGGTTGCCCATTTTAATAAAACAGCAGAATGATGGTTAGAGTTTTGACACCAGATTCAAGCGAAAGATAGCGAATTTATATAGACTGAAGTTACAAGGATAATGAATAAATGTATGAGCATCACTGTTTGCGACACCTAGCCATATCACTCAGTGTCTCTANGGGAGCTTAACGGGGCCTATGTGACCTAGTCTCGTGGTTAGAGTTTTCATACCCTCATGCCAGGTCTTAGTTTGACCACCCTTGATCTTTTTCCATCCGCTACCCGCCTTGGAAAAGATCGCTCGCAGCGGCAACCTACCTGGTGACATGCGTAACACGCCACAACCAACGTAATTTATGGAGGTCGATCACTTGCTCCAGTGGACGACCGCGAATGCCTGAATCTCTAGGCCGAACCTCAGCATTGATCGTCGTTACCCTACCAGACTTTTTTCTAGTGTATTCCCAAGCTTGAGGAGATCTCGGGTAGTAACAAAGGATGTTCCGTATTCACAGGTGTGGACCAGTAAGAACGGCAGTCTTGAATC